GGACACTCACCGGCCCGCGGCCGCCCGGGAGCGGCAGCGCCACCCTCCCGCTTCATCGTGCCCCCGCGGCCGCCGGCCGGGAAAGGGACAGGACGCGCGAGCCGGAAGCGCTCGTGCGCTACGCCCGCCGGGACTTGTAGTTCTCAGACTCACAATGCCCGGCCGGCTGCCTCACGCGCGGCTCCTCAGAAACTACGACTTCCGGCGGCTTCGACGTCGCGGGGCGGGATTGGCAGCTTTAGAATCACTCTATGTTGCAGGTCGGAGTCTGATTGGTTATGTGCAGCTGTCGCTCAGGGTGACGTTCGATGGCCCGTTGCGAAAAGGAGAAGCTTCGCGGGTCGGGTCCGAGGGACGGAGCGTATCAGCTGCAAGGGGAGAGGGTACTTCCGCCAGGATGGCCCAATCGCAGTGGTAGGGCAGTTTCTATAAAAGCTTGAGCCTTGCGCTCCCCGTTCTTTTGGGATCGAGTGCGGGTCTGGCGTGTTTGCTCGTGCTGGCGCCGTCCGCTAAGGTCATGGGCGCACTGGGCCCCGAGTGGGTTTGAGGGGGTCCCCCAAGTCTGCAGGCCCACCTGGCCCTCTTCCGCCTCGGTGTTGTTCATGTTTTTTGCTCCGCCCTCCCCACCCCCGCCCCCTCGTTGGGTCGGAGAAGTCCGAACCTCCAGACCTCCATCTCCCGGCAGGTAAGGCTGGGCCGGGCCTGCTCTCCCCTAGGCAGCTTCGAGCCTGTGATGAGTTGCTTTTATTTCTGACACCTCGTATGAAAACTGCACACGCAGTCTGATTATTTTGCAAGACTGAGGCTTCAGGGTGCACCCCCATGACGGGGGCGGGGGCGGCTGGGTGCGAAACTATCTTGTCCGAAATGGGAGTGGGCTTTTGTCTACACTGTGGCGCTGTCTGCCTTCTAGGGCGGTGGGTGACCCGGCCAGAGGCCGTAAACGTGAGTCGACGTCAGCCTGGAGGCCTGGTGGTAAGGCGGGAGCCCTTGTCGGTCTGGGAAGCGCTGAGCAATAAAGCAAAAGTGGTGAGTTGATTGGAACGCAGGTGTCTTTCTTTTCACACACGTCTGCATCCCATAGGACCCCATGGGAGCACTGGCTCAACCCCAGGTAGTCTTGGGACAGGGCAGAGGAAGATGGATGTTCGTCCGGTGACTTCCCCACTGTTGGAACTGTCTTCTCCATATTTCCATATAAGGCCAAAAATACTGGGGTTTTTTGGCTTGTGCCTTGGGTAGGTCAGGAACTCTTAATAATTTTTTTTTTTAAAGATTTTATTTATTTATTTGACAGACAGCGAGAGCAGGAACACAAGCAGTGGGAGAGGGAGAAGCAGGCTTCCCGCTGAGCAGGGAGCCGGATGTGGGACTCCATCCCAGGACCCTGGGATCCTGACCTGAGTTGCTTAACCGACTGAGCCACCCAGGCGCCCAGGAACTCTTAATAATTTTTTTTTTAAGGTTTACTTATTTATTAGAGAGGAGGAGGAGGGGCAGAGGGAGATAGAGAATTTTTTTTTTTTTTTTAAGATTTATTTATTCATGAGAGAGAGACGCAGAGGCAGAGGGAGAAGCAGGCTCCCCGCAGAGCAGGGAGCCTGATGCGGGACTCGATCCCAGGACCCTGGGATCCTGACCTGAGTTGCTTAACCGACTGAGCCACCCAGGCATCCCAGGAACTCTTAATTCTTCACTAGCGGGCCATGGAGCACTGTTTTTTATTCCATTGTGTCTTGGGGGGAGTGGACATGAATCACCTGGGCTCCCCCATGCTCCCTAGACACCATTGGGGTTCCAAGCAACCTAGTTACAGCGAGGGAGGGGTGCCACCCTCTGAGTGTTAAAGATGACCCGTACTTTCCCGAGGGGCCCAAAGGGGGATTTCTTTGAACAGAAGAGAGAGGCAGTCCGGAAAACACAACTTTATTCACTAGGACTGAAAACAAAGACTCTTAATCTAAAGACGGACTTCAGGATTTGAGTACAACAACGTGAAGTGTACTACCAGCCCCCTGGCTTGACCTAAGTACAGGCCTCGGTGAGGCTGGCAGTTCTAGTTTCCCTGACATTTCTCTGATTTCTCACATGCTGTTCGTCTCTTACAAAGCCACAACCTTGGCATCCTCCAAGGGAGCATGAAAGGAAGACCCTGTTGATGCTGGAACCAGAGTCTCCTAGCGTGTTAGCACAGAGCAGGTGGCTCTGATCCTTGGGGCACAAATGCATGGTATGGTTTGCGGTGAAGCCCTCGGTCCCAGGCACGGGCAGGAGTCCTGCCTTTCCCTGCCTGGGCAGCGTGTGCAGCTGAAGACATGGCTTTCTCTAAGGGGTTAGGCACTGTACATTGTGCTGGAACGGTGGCCCAGCCTGGAAGCTGGGCATGTCCAGGAGGGGGCAGCAGAGCGCCCCACGTGGGCTGTACATTGTGAGGTGCCCCCTCCTGTACTGGAGACTCTTGCTTTTCCTTCAAGGCCCTCAGGCAGCAGCAGGTGAAGAGGGGTGCAGACCCACTGGCTCCTTGAGGCCTGTTGGGCCTGAGGCTCTGGGAAAGGCAAGGCTCCATCTGGGAGTTCCAGGATCAGACACCCTGGGATTGACTGCGGGATGACTAAATCCAGGAGTCCCTGTAAAGCCTCCATCCAGCCTTGCAGGGCCCTCCCAGGTTCAGGGTGTGCAGCAGGAGGCTCCTCGGCCTTCCCTCTTGACATAGTCGTGCAGCCTGAAGTGGGGTTCACTGGGGGCCCTCGTGGAGCGCTGCTTCAACTCCCTGTGGTGCAGGGGTGACCATGGAACAGAGTGGCTTCTACCCCAGCAAGGAGATTCAGACTCCAGGTCTAGGGGTGGGGGTCTTCTGGTGACTGCCAGGACTTACTTTGCAATGGCTGTGAAGGCCAAGTCTACGTTGAGGCCTGTCTTGGCGCTGGTCTCCATGAAGGGCAGCCCGTACTCCTGCAAACAGCTGGTGGCAGCCAGGTGGCAGCCTGGTGGGGATAGCCCAAGTCCTGCAACCCCAGGGACACCCCTGGCCACCTACCCTACCCTGGCTCACCTTGGCCAGCTTCTCCCCATCCTCTCTCTTGACCGCACGCTCCTGGGCAGAGTCCACCTGGCACAGGGGTCTTGGTGAGAGCTGGCCCAGGGCTTGCCTGCTCCCTCACCCGCCCTGTAGAGCTAGGGAGGAGAAGGGGGGCTGGGGCGCTCACCTTGTTCCCCAGCAGCATAAGCACCACGTCGTGCTGGGCATACTCCTGGATCTCGGTCAGCCAGGCCTGTGGGGGAGAAGCTGAGACCAGCCTAGAGGCTGGCACTCCTGCGTACCCCTTGTCCCTCCAGGCCACACCGCACAGAGGGCCTGTGTGGCTCTGGCTAACGGGAGGGGCCCAGAAGTAGTGGTCCCCGTGCGAGGCGGAGTACCTTATCCAAGGTGTTGGATGGAGCTGGAAGGTCCCCAGACCCCATCCAGCTCACAGGCAACCTGAGCCGCCAGAGGGGCCACCGTTCCCTGCTGTCAGTGGGGTCCTCCGGCCTCTGGGACCCTAACGCCCCCCCGCCTGCCCCACCACCAGGAGGGAACCACTGACCTGGATATTGTCAAAGGAGGCCTTGTTGGTGACATCATAGAGCAGTAGCAGCGCTGGGGGCAGAGGGCCAGTGAGGACAGCTTCCTGGCGCCCACAGCCTCCAGCCGGCCTGCCATGCTCACTCCCAGGGCACCCACGGAGCACAGCCTCCGCTTCCTGGGGCTGGCGTCCCGCGCCCACAAGCTCACCGTGGGCGTCGCGGTAGTAAGCGTGGGTGACGCTGCGGAACCGCTCCTGGCCAGCCGTGTCCCAGATCTGCAGCGACAGACACAGCCCGGAGTCAGGGCTGCCGGTCCCTTCCCCTCACCTCCCCCGCCCGCGCCCCCCACCTCTCACCTGCAGCTTCACCTTCATGCCATCCACATCCAGAACTTTGTTCTGAAAGACAACCAGCCAGCTCTGCTGAGCCCAGCAGCTAGGACAGTGCTGCCCCCTGGTGGGGGGCTCCCGCAGTGCAGGCCAGGACCGAGCCTGAGCTTGTGTTGCCCCTGGCACGCCCCCAAATTCACTCTTATCCTGTCTGCCCCTCAGCTGGCTGGGTTCTGTCCCCGATGCCCACCTCCTGGTTCTCCTCGTCTGACCACTTCACCTCCCTGTACCTGCAGGTAACCTTTCACCTCAAACCCAAGTCCTGGGATCCGCCCAGCTCTCCCCACCCCCATGCCTCCTACACCTCCCCCTGCTGAGCCCCACCTAGTGATGATGCCCAAGCCCCTCTCCCACTCAGATGGCCATCCTCATGGACTTGCAGGCTGCTGCCCTCCAAGGGCAGCCGTGTCCAGTTCTGGGCCATGTGTGCTCTTTCTCTGCCCACCTCGGAGGCCTGGCACACGGCCCCACTGCCCTCAAAGGCCCTTTGCCACCACCCAGCCCAATCAGTCACCGAGTCCTATTGCTCCGGCCCTCCCCCCTCCTCCCTGCCCTGCCTCCCCCCGGCGCCTAGCCCTAGTCAGCTTCCCTACACCTCCTTGCCAGCTCAGGTTCACCACGCACATCTCTCCCTGTACCCTCGCAGACTGCGGAGGCCCTGCCCCAGCCCCTCTGACAGGCATCAGCTCCTCACAGCTCTACATGTGATGCTCCTTTTGCCCAGAGCCACCCACATGACTTCTGTGAAGTTATCGTGGTGTAACCCCAGGCCCATTACTAACATTCTGTGCCTCAGTTTCCCCATCCACAAAGGGAGATAACCAGGGTGCCCATCACATGGCTGCTTCAATGGCTTTATGAGCTACTACGTACAAAGCACTGAGAACTGTATCTGGCCCAGGATGAGAGCTAAACGCTTGCTCCAATTTAGAAGCCTCTCTTCCTGCTGGGACAACAGCTCCCTGAGGACAGGACCCAGTGCAGTAACCACAGAACCCGGAATTCGGCCTGGTACACAGCGGGTGCTCATTGACTGTTTGCTGGTAATGGTCCCCTGGCAGGCCCTCCCAGCTCAGGACTAGTGGCAGGGAGTGGCCCAACCCCACGGTTCCCATCTGCTGGGGTGGGGGTTGGGGGCCTGGTAGCCTCAGGCCCTGGCAGCTGGGACCACACCGCCTCCCTCTTCCCCAAGCTCCTGCTGTCAGGGTGCTTCTGGGTCTCCCAGGAACCAATGGTACAGCCATCTGCCAGGCTGAGAGGAGGCTGGGGAGGACACCCCGCCTTCACTGGCACCCTTGAACAGGGGTGTGAACCGAGCAGCCTCACCTCCCTCGCCACCTGCCCCAGAGCCAAGAGGAAGGTGAGAAGGGGGAAGGTGGGGCCGAAACAGGCAAAGGACCACCTGTCCAGGGCCTAAACTGTCCCTTTCTGGCACCTGAACCCTTACTTCATCTCAGAAGACTTGAGGGGACCTGGACCCCCAAGCAGGGTAAATAATGGCTCCCTAGCCTGAAGGGAGCCCCCTTTCCTGTTCCCAGAATGGGCCTCCCTCCCAGCCTCCCGCCAACTGGGTCTAATTAAAGGGTGAGAAAAATGCAAATTTGGGATTTGTCTAGAACACGCCAGCACCTTGGCAAGGCACTCAGAATTTAGACTGGTGGGTAGAGGTGGGGGCGCGGCTGCTGTGGCCCTTATCATTCCCTGCTGACCCCACAGGCTATTAGGGTGCCAAGGGGGTGTGGGGAGCCCCCAAATCCAGGTGCATTCCCCCTGCCCCAAAACCCCAGGGACACAGCCCTCCTGTTGGGGGCAATGTGGGAGGGGGCTCTGGCAGGGGGAAACAGCCAGGTGGGAGCATTTACTGTGAGCTCCCTCACCCAAGGGCAGGGACACCCCCCCCAGCTCCCAGAGGGGGGGTATGCCCCACAGCCTCTTCTCTCTTAGGTCCTTGGCAGGCTGCCTGGCACCTGTGTACCGTGGGGCAGTGATGTTAGCCTCCCAAGGGAACATGGGCCTTGGGTTCCCTCTGACGGCCACCCCCTGGGGCACCCGGCCCACCCACCCTGAGGCACAGAGTACAGCCCCAGGCATAGGAGTGCTACACCTGCTTCAGTCACATGCATCCATCACCTGTCTCCAGGATCCTTAGGGTGTCAGGAGATGGGCATTTTGGTGGTTAAGGCATACCCCCTCGACCACCCTGACCCTGAGTGCCAGGTGGTCCAGACAGGAGGTGTCCAGGGCTAATGGAGAGCCAGCTGCCCAGGGGTGTTGTGAGAACTCCGTGAGCTGGTGCGGGGGGCCCAGGGCATGGCTGGGTCAGCTTAGTGCTGAGGACATCAGCCTCCCCTCTCACCCGGAAGTCGATGCCCACAGTGGAGATGAAGGTCCCTGCCAGGAAGGCCCCATCCTTGAAGCGCACGAGCAGGCAGGTCTTCCCCACGCCCGAGTCCCCCACCAGCATGACCTGGGGCGAACAGGAGGGTCCGAGGTGTTAGGGACAGAGGGGACCAGGTGCTGGCCCACCCAGAGGGGTGTCTGGTCTTCCCTGAGCTGGCCTGGTCAGGAGTGGACGAACTGTCCCAGGCCTGCAGGCAAGACAGGATAGCTACAGTCCCTGCCGGCTGGACCTCCAGCTTCCACCTCCAGAAGGTTCGGTCCCCTTTCTCTTGAACAGCGGCCCATCTCACTTAATGGGGAGTGGGGGCAGCTGCCTCCATCCAGGGCCCTACCTAACCCCACCCCCAGACCCTGGACACCATGCTTGATCTGGAAGGGGAGCATTTGGGGCTTGGTGGGGAGTGGAGTCTGGAGGTTGGTGGCTGGAGACCTTCGGGGAGGCCTCTGGGGGTCTCTGTGCCGGGGGGCTTCTTCTAATCCCAGTAAGATTCTGGAGGATTTTGCCACATGAGGTCAAATCTTGGCCTGAGAAGGCCTAGGTCAGGTCTGGGGACCCAGAGGAGGCAATCAGGCCTCCCCCTCGTCCACCCCTCCCCCAGCCTGCTGTCAAAGGCTCCAAAACCCACAGACAGTCTGGACAAACCCTCCACAATCCACAGGCTTCTGCCTAGGCCTGAAGCAGGCCCCAGTGTTCCCCACCCAATTGGTAAACCTCTTCTTAGTCTCCCCCTTCCCCCCCCCCAAAAGAGGAGACCCACAGACCCCGGGGGGTGAGGGAAGGCAGCATATGGGAAATGGTGAGACTGGGGCCCGGGTGGGCGCGGGGCCATTAGGGAGCGGGGACGGAGCACCTGCCAGGTTCGGGACCCCTTGTCCGGCCCTGCCAGCTGGGGCGTTAGGAGGCAGGGCTTGCCAGCTGTTGGGTATCTGAAATCCGGGTCTGACAGCTGTGTGTGTATGCGATGCGCGGTGCCCGCCGCGCGACCCGCAGGGTGCCGCTCGGGCGGGCTTCCCGTCCAAGGTCCGCCGGGCCCTCCGTCCACTCCCGGACCCCTCCCCGCTCGGCTCAGGCCGAGCGCCACCTGCTGCGCTTGCATGGGGTGGGGGCCGGCTCACCTTGAAGGCGACGTCGTAGAAGTCGCCGCCGCCAGGCGAGGGCCGGCCAGGCTGCGGGGGCCCGTTGGGCCGCACCTGGGGGCCAGGGCGCGCAATCCCAGGGCGCGCCGGCCGGGACCCGTTGGC